ACTGCACGCCAGCCTGGGGGACAGAGTGAGACCTTGTCTCAAAATAAAATAAAATAAAGTAAAATAAAATAAAATAAAATAAAGTAAAATAAAATAAAATAAAATAGAAGGAGGACTAGGGGTGTTGGCCTGAGGCTCAGAGCGGGCCTGGCAGGACCAGGGAGGGTAGCGACTATTCCTGGTCTCTGGCAAGTGGAGAAGAGCAGGGCGGGGGGTCAGTGTCCTGGGTCCCAGCCAGGCTGAGCCAATAGGAGCAGGCCTGAAGGAGGGACACTCAGAACACAGTCTCAGCATTTGGGGCAGGTTAATGGGGGCATCGACAGCAGGATTTGGGAAGAGCACTGCTCTGGCTCCAGCTGGTCCAACTGGGGGTGCTGGTGGGCAGCTGCTGCCTCCCTAGGAAGCAGCACTGGCAACCACCCATGACCACCAAGGCTGAGTCTCCTGGTGGGTGCCCACCCTGTTCATGCAAGGACCCGGAATGTGCCTGGGCCCAGACTTTGTCAGGGCTCAAGTAAACCGCTCTTGAAAAGAACAATAACGTGAACACTGCAGCAGCCGCTCCTTGGCCTTTTCCATCCATGCCAACCTCAAGTGCCTCCGCTCTGCAGGTAACAGCATGGCAGCTTCCCAAAGGCACGTCCAATCAGTGCAAAAATAAAGGGCCTCTTAGTGGTCATTTTGGTAAAGCAAGGATGTTACCCCTACGTTACCCTGAATGTACTGTGGAGCCTTTTAGGAAGTCCAGGCCTAAGAATTTGAAATCAGTTTTAACTCAATGGCATTCAGTCAAACTGGCAAAACTTGTTAGACGCCCCCTAAGACCTCCACCCTGACAGCAGAAATCTCTGGAGAAATTACTAAGCTGCTCACCTTTAGAGAGCACACGAATATTGACAGCTCTAGTAAAGCACGGGCAAAATAACTGATGATCAATGCTGGCAAAACCTCTGAAACTGCTCACCACCAAGAGACCCAGGGTCCCACATAACCCAGCCACTGCTGACTCGTCACTGGCTACCGCTCTGCACCTGGGTCTGGAAGCGTCTGAATCCAATTGTGAGCAGATGCAAGTTCTCAGATGTTTCTCAGACAGGAATCCAACCCGTTCCTCTGTTGTTTTTCCTACTCAAATGGAAATTAGAGTCTTATCTGAACTGCTCATAATCCTTTTAATTTCCTTTCAAAAATTAAAAAAAAATACTTTGTACATTTCTGATTCAAAGCATATATATTTTTTCTGGCATCTAAAAAAATACTTTTATCTCCCATCAGCCTCTGGTTAACTCAGCTGGAAGTTTCAAACGTGTTTGGATCCCAGAGTTGTTTGTGCTTTTAGTTGCACATTTCTGCCTCGGTCCAGCCTTCCAGCAGGCGGCTGGCCTCCTCTGCACGAGAATCTGAGCTACCAGAACCAGGGATTCTGAGCTACATCAGCCTGGGATTTCTCCTCTGAAGTTTCATATTAAAGCCGGCTTTCACCAGTCAGAAATCTTGCCCCAGGAGCTCCCAGACGGGACAGCAGGCAGTGCTCCGAGAAGGGGACGCAGAGGACCAGCCCAGCGTGGGTCTGGCTGTGGGCTGGGAATCCCATGAGCCTCTGTGACACAGGGCTGTGGCTGAGACCAGAGGGCTTCCCGGGAGCAGGTGTGCGTCTGCCACTCCTGCTGCTGTTTCGCATGGGTTCTAGACATCACAGTTTCAGAACTGACCCGACGTGCTGCCTGTGTTCTTACATGAAGAGGAGACGCGGGACTCCGGGGTGCTGGGCTTGCCCTCCCTGTAGACAGCCTCATGAAGGTTTGGCAAGGCCTGCGGGTGGCTGTTTGTGGGGTGTTGGGCTGTCTGGGGAGGTGTGTGATGGTCTTCCAGCCTGGAGAAAAACATGAAAAACGGTAGTAAGTACAGCCAGCCAGGAGATTCGGACCGCCGAATGCTGTGCAGCATCACAAATACAGGAGGGGGCGGTGCCTCAAAGTCCTGTTAAACCATCATTGGCATATCAGACCTTTTAAAGGGTCTTGGCAGGAGCCAGGAGGCTGACCCTGTGAGGCAGTAGCCTCCTCTTGCTCCTGTTAGCCCCCTTCTGTATTCACAGTGATACATGGCGTGGTGTATTCCTAACACACAATTATGTCTTACCACTCTGGGTGACATGGGGCCATGACATTTCAAGCAAACAACGTAAGGCACCGATCTCCTGGTTTTCTCCAAGGATTAAGCATATGAATGAAGGGATGAATCCAACCAGAGAAGACATAACAAGTCATGTCAGCCGTGGCAAGTGTTGGCCAAGAACAAGACTGAAGAATTTTCTTCTTTTTTTTTCCTTAGAGACAGGGTTTCACTCTGTTGCCTAGGCTGGGGTGCCATGGTGCAACCACAGCTCACTGCACCCTTGACCTCCCAGGCTCAAGTGATCCTCCCATCTCAGCCTCTGGAGTAGCTGGGACTACAGATGGGCGCCTCCACACTCAACTGATTTTTTAATTTTTTGCAGAGACAAGGTCTCTCTATGTTGCCAGGACTGGTCTCGAACTCCTGGGCTCAAGCAATTCTCTCACCGTGGCCTCCCAAAGTGCTGGGATTGCAGGCGTGAGCCACTGTGACTGGCCTAGAACTTACTTTCTTATAACACTACCTAAAGGATGTGTGCAGAACAGCTCCTTTGCAGTGTCTAATGTTGGCACCCAAGCTGGGGGAGACACCCTCGCCCAGCAGGCAAGCGCTGAGAGCTTCATGCACTAGATCCAGCCAGATGCGAGGGCCAGCTGGCTGGGACAGCCTCATTGGGTCAGCCTTGACCACAGATCCCCGAGGAAGGCCCTCTAGTTATCTATAAGGCAATGGAGCACTCGCTCCCCCTTCAACAAGGAGATATGGGCCACCTACGCCAACAAGGGCTCAGTGGGGGGCACACAACAAGCTCGTGCCTGCCTAGGGCTGGGCCCTGCAAATGGCTGTTCTTGAATGTCAATTTCATATGTCTGGCTGGGTGTGGTGGCTCACGCCTGTAATCCCAGCACTTTGGGAGGCCGAAGAGGGCAGATCACTTGAGGTCAGGAGTTCGAGACCAGCTTGGCCAACATGGTGAAACTCCATCTCTACTAAAAATACAACAATTAGCCAGACGTGGTGGC